CCACAAGAGCCCTGTCTAGTCTCTCTATGCTCAACCACACCTGACGAGGGCTACTCTCTTGACAGTGATGAATATGGCCCCTATGTTGAGTTATGTTTTACATCAGACTCAACGTGCACAGCTCGACACTGATATGGTCGCAACGATGAGAGTATATGCATCCTCTGCTGCTAAACGTGATGTGGTGGTCAAGGAAGACGACCTACTCACCAAAGCCGACATAGCAGCACACCCGAAAGAGGTTAGTGAAGCTTTGTACACTGAACTCAAGATCTGGCTTGATAACCGGTGCTTTGAGATGTATGATTTATCCAAAGCCTCCAACATCATGACATCCAGATATGTATACAAGTGGAAGTTTGTGAAGGTAGGTACCGAGAACGTTAAAACCATCCGTCTCAGACTTGTCCTTCGTGGATTTATGGACACTGAGGCGTTCGATGTGGAAACCTTCTCAGGAACCGCCCGAAGGCAGTCCCAGAGACTCCTAGCAAGTGAGGCGGCATGCCATCCAGAGTGGATCCTAGCATCCATGGATATCGACAAAGCGTTCCTCAAGGAGTTGACCTATGAGGAACTTGCTCATGCCACCGGCGAGGAAACTCGCATGGTCTGCTTCACTTTTCCACCGGGAAGTGCCCAGGTACTTCGTACACTGCCCGGCTTTTCATCCTACGACGAAAGCCGACACTGCCTCAGGTGCCTCAAGCCAGGGACGGGTACAAAAGACGCCCCAAGAGCGTTCTCTCTCAAGCTTCGTGCGACCACACGAGCTATAGGCCTTACACCGACAAGTTATGATCCTGAGTTTGAATTCAGCCAGGATTTGTTAACGGCAAAACATGTCGATTACATTAATACGACAGGCCTAGAGAAAAATATAGACGACTATGCACAACGTGCCGAAAAGGTGTTTTGCAAATGCAAGCTTCACAAACAGTCATATACGAACTGCGCCGTTCGCTACATTAAGAATGACCCAGATGATGTGATCATGGATCAGGACGAGTATATCAAACAACTACGTCCTATCACACACCCAGAACTTACAGGAGCGGCGGCCGATGCCAAAGCCACCAAACTCATCACCGACATGTTCGTCAGCTTGCGAGGAGCCCTCGTCTATGCTCTTCTTACTCAAGTCTGGCTCATGGTATATGTGGTCTCTCTTCAGAAAATCCACGAGCCCACCAACCTACAAGTCAGACGACTGAATGCTGTGGCGCGAAAGCTGATCAGCAGCCCGAAACGCATCACCTTCCCTCGGATGAAGCCGACGAATGAAGTTGACATACACAGTGGTTCGGGGTATCGGAAGCTCACCGGGGAGGAGGACGATGAGACCAAGGGTTATGGCATACGCGGGGCCAACGCACTACGGCGAGGAAACTCGCCTCAAGGCAAATCCGTCGTTCACCTCTGTGACGGACTATGTAAATCACACCGACTGCAGGTGAGGTCCAGCTATGCCGCTGAGGCGCTTGCAGCTGCGCACAACCTTGATGAGTGTTACCCTGCGCTCATCACTCTCCAAGAGCTCAAGGCAGGGGCCCTGGCTCCACGACAACTGCGAGATATGCGTGAAGTTGGGGGCCTGGCTCTTCAAGTATCCCTTACCATAGACGCCGAGTCGGTATATAAATCGCTATCCAGCAAGGATCTTAATATACCGACGGGACGAACCTTGCTTGGACATATTAGCTGGATACGTGAGCTCATGGATATAGGTATAGTGCAAAACTTGCAGTGGTGCGATACTAGAGATATGACCGCAGATGGGCATACAAAGGGGAGCATCGATCGGGAGCTGCTTTTGGAAGTGATGTCAGGCAACCAATCATTCAAGTATGACGTGAAGCAGTTTGTTCCCTTTCGGGGTCCCGAGGACAGAAACAAGCCTAAGTCTAATCAATTTTAGTATGTCCTTGTTGCCCCCGCGGTCCTATATGCCAGCATGGGCGCCTACTACAGAGGCGCCCCTCTAGGTGCTCGGAAACGAGCCTTACATTTCACGCTTGGTAGCGAGCCTGTTCAGTGTGATTCAGGCTCTTTGCTGTAATACCCGTTTGCTCGGTGAGGTATAGCCCGTTTGGCTTACCTCTAGCCGGGCCGATAGCCCTTTACCATTCAAGGGGCTGTCTCATATTTGCGTGAAATGCCTTGCGAGGAAACTCGCCTTACAGTCTGGTGTTAGGCCAGTCTGTATGCACCGTTTTCTTGCAAACAGTTGCGCGCGCGGCCTTTGTAGAGCCTAACGGCTGCGCGGCTATACTCTCCGTCTCTTCCCCTCCCGACTTTAAGGGTAGCTCTTTGGGAGATGTTATATAGAATCGGGAGTGTAGCTCGCGCGCCGTTGCCTTTGGCTCAAGGCACGCGCGCCCTATTTGCCCGGACACTGCTTGTGTTCGCTATGTGCTGGAAAGATCACTACATCGATCTTATCCTACCTTATCCGTCCATTCCTCTTACTGAGCAGCCTCAGTACGATACCGGACGCTAT